CTGCTTGACGAGTTACAAATTTTGTACTTTTTATAAAATAGTGACTATAACACGTAGATATAAGTATTTGGAAAATATCACCTGAGCATCACGTATACTTTTCATCAGACTCTTGAAATTTTATTATTTATAACCATATCTAAAAGCAAACAGGAGACTGGAATTATATTATTTTCCCACTTTAAAAATATTCTTGAATTTTTATCTACATCTCAAGTTAAAGAATTGAAAAAAATACACTTAGGGTATTTAACTTTACAAATGCTCTTTCACTCCTCTTAGATTTTTTTTAAAAAAGTATATTTTCTTTGAACAGGGCATAAACATTTTTGTAAAACTTGGAGAATTGTACATTGCTTCAATAAATGCTGTCTTGAGTCAAACTCAAGTAAAGTACTTTTTCTGGGAATGATAGAATTGCCAGATAAATTGTTTGGATAACTATAGTGCTCAATTCTAGGCAAACCCATTTAATATATAATGTGCTCATTGGCATTTGGATAATTTAATCTGTCAACGAGCTAGCCTTAAACCAAGTAGTTAATTGAAGCTAAAATGGCTTAAGGTCTTTCTAATTTTTTAATCGTGATGCATAGTCTTTATAGCTCAATTTGTTTTTATTGCCAAAGCAAGTTATTTTGTCTCTTTTTCTCTGCTAATATTTTTCAGCCTTCAGATTACTCTGTCGTTTCTTACACATTAGAGAGGATATATAAAATGAACTCTGGCCTTTTCTGGGTGTCATGCTATTTTGAAATGGCTCTCATTAGGCATTTTGATTTTCTCTCAGGATTGACAACAAACGCATTGACAGCGTGAGGAAGATAAAACAGAGGGCTTCTCTGTGGCAAATGTAGAAGACGATTCCTTTTTATTTTAGTGTCTAATCCTAAACTTCCTTAGTTTTTATTGATGCCACTGCCTCTGGCATGCTGTCTGGTCTTTAAAGAAAGGGAGCTATTATTATCTCTGCCACTAATATTAGCCAGTGAATCATTGCTCAGTCCTGGGACTCAAATTTCTTAGGCACCTGTACTGGAGGGGGAAAAAAGTTCATTTTGAGATTAAAGCAATGAGAGGACAGCTAATTAGAACTCTGAGAATTAGAGTTTGCTGACTACCGTTAATGAACAAAATGCAAAGTGTAAGCGTGCTTATGCTTGAAATATTTAGACTCACGTAAGCATTGACGTCCTATCAAATACGTGTGGGTTATAGTGCTGGGCTCGTCGAATGTACTCATTCAGGGTTTGCTGATTGATTGCTAAAATCATAACCATCTAGAATATTTAGATGCCATTTTTACAAATTCCATCAATCAGTGAGTTTTATACCTGTATGTGTACATTTATTCCGTTATTTATTCATTAATTTTCAAATGCCCATCATGTACCTAGATACTTTGCCAGGTGCTTGCATTTTAACAAACATGGATGTTTAGGGATTTATATATGAAGCATATTATCGTTTGAAACTTTCTTTTTCTCTTCAGATGTTTTAGCATTGCGTAGTGTAAGCCTATCGGGTATTCAGAAACACTGCTGCAATGAAAGTAGCTTAGGTACCATGTTATTTACAAGGAAGGATTTAAGGACGCTCACTCAATTGTGAGCAAAGCATGCTTTATCCTTTAGAGACTATAACCAAATTATGGGTTTTTTTGAATTACAGCCTATGTAACCTTCCTTCTGGTATGCTATAGAAAAATAAAAATCTTAGAGGGAGTTTTGAAACTTGCTTTGACTCATGTGGACTGCCATTCTAGAAGAGCAAAAGTATTCTGCATCAGCAGCCACGACGGAAGATGACACTTCAGACCACAACTTTTAAGGATAAAGCGTGCAGGCCTGGTTTCAAAACACTAAAAACACAGTGTGATCGTCAGCACTTTAAAGCTTTTTGGGTGCCCACTTTTCGAAGTATGTTAATGAATCATTTTTTGGTATTCTCTGCTATTCCATGGCCAACCTGAATAGTGACTTTTAAAATTTTCTATTTAGAATCAGTGAGAAAAGTATTTCCATTATATTTATTTTTAAAAACATATTATTAATGTTAGTAATGTCACATACAATGTATTAGGCAGAGGGGGTATTTCGGAATTCTCTGTGAAATAAAGCATCCAGGACTTTTCATCAATTGTTTATCTTCTTTCAGCTTCTTCCCCCTTGACTCTCATTATTATCTTTCTAGTCAACTCAGACCAAATTTGTACTTCAATGTTTCTACCTTATTTCATGCTGTCGTTATCCATGGAATACACCCCCTCCCCTCCCCAATTTCTGTTCTTCAAGAACTGTTTAAAGTACTATAGAGATCAGAAAGAATGATTTTTAAAAATAACCATACATTTATAGTTTTCAAGAGTTTGCAAACCATTTTCTTATCAATTACCTCATTTTAGTTCTCGGCACTCTTATGAGATACACAACATTATGTTTATTTACACAACAGTAATTTAAAATAAAGTTGTGCTTAAATAAGCCTTGAACCTGCCAGTCTTTGGATGAGCTGGGTGTTTTTGTTTGTTTGTTTGTTTTTTTCAGTATCCTAGATACACCTCCCATTTTTTCTGCCTCTGAATTTATGTGTAAGATGTTAATTTCTTTCAAGAATGGAGTCTTTCACTTTCTCCCCTAACGTCTCCTGTGTACTCTCACTATTTTAACTATTAAGGCTGAGGCTAATTACAAAAATTGTTTGACTGAATTAGTAACTGTGAGGCAACTTTACAATTTAAAGAAACACCTACCGGATTTATTGATTGACATTAAGTATATGGTGCCAGGTAAGGGAATTTTTAACTTTTTTTTCCTACTCTTTGGTAACTCGTTTTAGCCTCCCGAATACATGAAAATCCTAGAGTGCTGCTTTGAATTACTTGAAAAGACAGATGTGACAACAAAAATCATAAAGATCCGTTACATTACTGATGTAATGAAAAAGGTGAAAGAGGTTCAGTATTTGATTATAGTGCTAAATAAAATTTATACATTTCTCAATTATTGAAACTGCCAAAAACGTCAGGTAACTTCTCCCGTTCCATGTTGTAGAAGGCGCTGTAATTTATTAGCAATTTTAATTTATTGTTATCACATTGTATATATTTTACATATCATATTATTATATACAACACATATTTAAGTATTGACATTCTACAGCTTCTCAGTGTTCTTCTCGGTGGACTGAAAGAACGCGTAGCTTAGCTTAACGTGCCTGTTGCTTCTTCTTCATGCTGTTAGACATCTATTTGGACAAGGTGTTGACTGCTGATGCCAACTCAAGTTCATGCATTAAAATTTGACATTCTTTCAATTAAGTTGATATTGCGTGCCTACTAAGTGCTTGGTTAGGTGATGAGTGAGCTTTTCTTTTGATGGATTCCTAATTATAAAACTGTGGCTCAGAGTGAAGCAGTTTGAACGTTCACAATAAGGTTTAGGGTAACAGAAGTTCCGAGTTGCTTGTTTTTCCTCCCAAGATCTGAAAAGTCTCATTTACATTGATTTCTGCTACAGCTTTACACGGTAGATATCAATTTATTATCCTAGAATAGAAATGTTAACCTGAATATAGCAATAAAGACTAAGGGGTCTGGGTTTGCATCCTCTAATTAAAAAAAAAGAAACCCAGCAGATATATATCAGGAGGTCAACAAAATGTTTAGGCGAATAGTGGAAAACCAGAGGAAGAGGCTAGTCAAGCTTTGGAGAAATCAGACAATCAACCAGCAGATCCAGAACTTAAACCCGCTTCTGTCTGACTCTGAAGTCAGGCAGTTCCTTTTCACAGCTGCTGTTCTGCTTCTGTAAACAGAAGTCCGGAAGCAGGGTGGCAGACTTAAATCAGAGAATCAAATGTAACAGTGTAAAAGGTTTATAAAGACAGATATTAAACTCTGCACTTGTATTCAGAGAAACAACGGGAGATAAATGGGAGAGATGTGGATAAGCAGTGACAAAATCAGATCAAAAAGATCTGTTTAATGTAAGTTCAGTGTTAGTCAACACCTTGACAAGGTCAGCCTAGGTTATGCCTTGACCAGTGTTAAAAGAAGCCCAAAATTAAGGACAAATAAGATGAGAGGCCTCTTTCATATTGGTTGCCTGTGCTTGAGTCTTGGTTTCTTTGTTCATCTTACACTTCAAGGGAATAATATTTATTAAGAAAAAAGCAATAGAAAGTTAAGAAGGCATAGCTGATAAAGACTGATGAAAAGAATGGGAGGTGTTTAGCAGACTGCGAGAAAGCCTGATTGGACATGATAGATGCCATCAAAACTTGACCTTCTTCTGACCTTCTTCTTTTTAATATGTTGACATATTTTGTTCAGATTTAAAATCCATGGCATGAAACTCAAAACTGAGAATCATTATATTCTCCTTATTTTACTTCTGTGTAATTTATTCTACATTCTACAAGACTACAGAATGCTTTACTTCAAAGGGCTGATCAGTCACAGTGGGGAGGAAGGAAAGAAAAAAAAAAAGGCTACTATTTATTTTTCTGGGATAGTGCAATAGTTTGAATACTGCTGCCTAGGATCAATATTTCACTTCTCTTTTTCTACAATTTTTAAGAAATATCTTCAGACTTGAGAAGAATCAAAGGAATCGCATATAAGGAAAATTAAAATTCAGTTTAACCGTTTGGCTTCACATTCTGTGTGCCTCTCGATCATTCAGCTTCCCCACCTCAACATGTCAGTGATTCAGAAGCTTGTCTTTAGCTCAGTGATGCCCAAATCTTTCTTTCTTAGGATCCCTTAAAACTTTTAAAAAAATTATTGAGGACCCTAGTAATTTTTTTTTATTATGAGTTATCTCTCCCGGTATTTCCTACATTAGAAATTGAAAGTGAATTAAAATATCTACCTAATAATTTCTCTTAAAATAACAAACCCACTCGATGTTTACATAAATGACATTTTATGAAAAAAAAATACTGTATTTCTTAAAAGAAAAACAGTGAGAAGGGTAGCAATATGTTTTCCATTTTTGTAAATCTAATATTCAGCTTAACAGAAGATATCTAATTAACATATCTGCATCCATATTCAGTCTCTTATGCCATCACACATGATATAACCTCTTGCAAATTCCACTCTAGACTCGTGAGAGAAGGAGGGTGAAAAAGACAAGTCATGTGTCAGTATTATCATGAGAATAGTTTTGACCTTAGGGCTCTCTGAAAGGATCTCAGGGACACCTAGACATGTCCAGAACGCACTACTTTGAAAAGCACTAGTTTAGCTATTATATAAGTATTTTTAATCTTTTAAACGATGTCTCTTGGATAGTATGTTCTGTATAGTCTGGATCATTGATATTCAGTGAAATTCTCATCAGAGAACCTAGTGATTAAAACTTAGAAAATAATTTATGCGAATGAAAGATGAGCTCAAGCGTGAGGAGACTAAAATAAAATGCGTGTGCGTGTGTGTGTACACACGTGGGCTCACAGGTATGTTCTACACATGTAAAACATAAATATGTTCCCTGTTCATCAATCGAGAATGAAGTAATAGCAACCACTCAAAAATATCAGTGGTATTTGCCTCTGTTTTGGATGTAAAAGTGTTAAAACTTATTCAGTTCATTTGACAGAAAAGTAAAAGTAAAATAGGTTATTGCTTGAAACAGGATGGAAAGCGTTTCATAATTACGTAGACAGCATCAGTAGGATGGAAGTCATTCAAAGATGACATTAGTGCCGAAGGCGGAAGAAAGTAAGATGGTGAATGACTTCTCCACAGCTCACATTCTGGCTCGTGTACCCGCTTAATTGCAGTTTGCATTCGGTCTTGTGGAGGAACATCTGCATCTCGGCTTCTGACAGTGCAAGATGCTTTGCTGTCTACCTGTGAGAATGTATTAATGGATTTGCTGTAATTAAAGCATTCACCTTTGGAGGAACTTTCCTTTCCTATCTTTATTTCACTTTAATTTTTAAAAATAAACTAGCAGACTGAGTTATCAGCTCTGCCAAGAGAATGATAAGACAGTCATGTTTACTCAATATTCATTGAAGTGAATGGACCAAAGTTAATATGAATTTTACCCCCTGAGAATTCGGGGAGTATTAAAATTTGGGGGAAACTATTCATCTGTATCTGGGATTTGGCATAAATTACAGATTTTATTTTTCAAGCCAAATCCATTTTCTTCTGGTTATTGATCTCTAGCATATAGTTGGGCAGCCTTCAAAATAATGATTAAAGAAATGACCAGGGATGGATCACCTACAGCAGGGAGCAGTGGGCTGGGGTGAGTCAGACCTATTGTATGTTTGATATCTAATGGACAGTTGAGGAGGGAGGTAGCCTGGGGAGACTAGGAGAAGAGCAGGCCAGGTGACAGTATTGTAACTAGAGCTTGGCATTAGGGCGCCCACAAACAGTCCCCATCAGGGAAGTTCAGGACAGACTGGGACACATATTATATCAGGCAGATGGAACGGAGACACAGTCAATGTTGAGCAGACCAAACTCGTACAGATCCAGGTGGCCATCTGAGACTGGCATCCGAGAAGTGTGTCAGACGACAGGGTTTGGGTCGGACTGGCCATACGTGGAGGAGACGGGGAGGGATAATAACATCAATGTAAAGCTCAGTTACTAAAAACACCATTAAGATAGAGACCAGCTGCAAATCAGGCAAGATTCTGTATCACCTGAGTATGCAGGACAAGAACATGCTGGGCTGAGGGACGCCAACCAGCGTTCTCTGGAGGAATGTCAGCTCTTATGAATGTTAATTAAATACTTTGGAGGAAGCTGATAGAAGTCTTTTTTTTCAAGTTTAGCTCATGGCTTGATCGTACATGCTACAGAAGTTAGGAGAGAAAATACCATTCGCCGCTGGGAAGCATTTTTATGACAATATAGTAGTGCCTGATTTTTGACTCGTCGCTTCTTTTGAAAGATGGTTCTCTGCTAGTGTTCATCTTCCTCCTATTTTATGACTTAAAGCTCTTTATAAAATGTTTAAGGACTGTTTGAAATGGTTTGGAAGTGGTACGCCCTCCCCTCTTTTTTAGTATATTCTTTAAATTTATATGGGGACAAGCTCTGTTGATTCTTTTCATTGCCAGTTATCTTTATTTCTCTTAATGACACTTGCACTATTAATCATGCTCACAGAGTCATGCATTAACTCATTCAAGCCTCTTGGGCTCACAAATATACTGGTGTGTGATTCATTAAATGATTCATTAATTGTTTTCAAACCACGAGGGTCCCATTTAATAACTTCCTGGAGCCTGCAATTAAATAGTGTCCTAGTGCCCTCAAAATGGAGCCTCGTTTAATGACTCAGGCACTCTTGAAAAGGGAATTTATTAAGTGACCACAACTATGCCAGGGTTATTAAGTGAACTGAGTCGTTTCTCTTGGTTGCTTTTTTCCCCTTTTTCCACGGCCTTCCCAATATGTCTTGCTGAGGCACCAACTACAAATGTACATTGTCGCTAAAAGCTTGTAATTTTGCAATTTCAAGACTAATATCTTTTTCTTAGCCCTAAGTCTGGAAATCTACAGGCAGGAAAATCATAGACCAGGACAGATCTTGTACCTTGTGTTCTGAGATGGGCTCCATAATAGTGTCAGCAGTAACCCATGTAATTAAAATGAGTGCTGACTCTGTGCAGGCAGTGGCCTCAGCCTTTATCTCGATTTTATCATTGAATTCTCAAAGAAATTCTACGGGTTATAGGTTTTCATATTAGCCTGGATTTCACAGATGGAGGAATTGAGGCTTCGAATAGTCCCAGGCAGGGCAAGTGGTAAAGCTGGGAGCCTAACAGAACCTGTCGCCATTCCATCTCCACATTTCAGAGACTTGTGTCATTCATCCCTTAGTTTGTTCATTCATTCCTTCTTCAATTATTAATGCCCACTCTGTGAAAGTGAAGGGCAGGGCGTCTATTATTTTGTGTGTGTGTGTGTGTTTGTGTGTGTGTGAGTATATATTTATGTATATTTATATGTATATGTATGCGTGTATGTGTGTATATATATGTATATATGTGTTATATGTATGTATAAAAATAAATAAATTTGGGAGCAGTTCTGGGCTTTCTCTGATTTCTTTAAACTTCATAATCATGGTGAAGAACTATTTTTTCAATCAAGAATTGCTAAATCCCACTTTGTAAACTCAGCTATATATATGCATACAATACTCATTTATTTAATACACTTTAGTATTCTCATGCTCGTAAAATAAAGTTAGATGTATGTATATAAGTAATTTAATATTTCATTTATGCTGATAATTTCAAACATATATATGCCCTGTTTATGGAAGTCTAAAATACAGGTAGCCAGAAACATTTGGCTGCAGGAAATTTATTTTTTTCCCCTCTTTTCTGCTTTATGTTGGGACTTCCTTCTTTCTGACTTTTCTCCTTTTTTTTTTTTTGCAGCTGCAGGGTTCAGCCTCTATCCTTATTTCTTTCTCACCATTCTGCCACGAGTTCTCCTTTCTGTGCCATTGTCTTCAGTTATTTCTCTCTTAAATCTTTCTCTACATTGTAGCCACCAGAAAATGTAACTACTTAACTCAAGGACTTAGAAATTAGTGCAATACGCCCAGTTCTCCTTTTTAAAAAATATTGGGTCATTAGTATTTCTGTTTTCTTTGTAGTAATACAAAAATGTCATCTCGCGGTTTGTGTGTCGCTCTGTGTGGACAAGGGCGCGTGATTTCTCGGCTTTCAGTTTTTCTCGTCCTGACTTAAAGTATTCTGAAACCTGGGTTTTTTACCTCCTTCCCCCTGCGCTTCTTGCCTCTTTTTCTTTTCTCCTGTTTCCTATCAGAATCCCTCGTAATTACCATTCACATCTGTTAAATTGCCTTACAGGCTTTTGAATGGCTTAGCCACAGAGTCTAACGTGGGAATTATTATTTTCTGAGCTGTGCTTCCGTATTCCTCAAGTACTCACTGCAGGCATTGTAATTTGAAAGCCACTGAGTCCTCACCTCTGCCGTCTGCTAAAAATCTTCCTTTCCTCCCTACACAGAAATTAGGCCTACTTTTAGACCTGCTGCCTTCGGGAGGTTAGTCACCTCTGGGGCGATTGTGAGGCGAGGCGTGATTAAAGAAACCTCTCTTTTGCTCTAGACTAATTCCATTTAGCTGCTGTAACTTATTTTTGAAGTAAAACTCAAGTCTAATAATGCAAAGAATTGGTTTTACCTTCAAGGCCTGAACAAAGTAAATGCCAAACGATATTAACATGTGAAATTGCTTCTTTGATTTAAAAAAAATTGGATTTTCATTCTCACAGAATAAGTTAAGAGATCCTTATGGAAACAAAAAGAAGCGTAGCTTCATTCTCTTGTTAGATTTTTTTTTCTCTAAATGAATTTGCTTGTTTATGGGAGAAAATAAAGAGTCATGCAAAGAGATACTTCATTTTGTTAAAGAAAAACAAGGAATTTTAGAAGTACAGAACGTTAATACTTAAGAGTATAAAGAAATTTCAGGTTACATTAACATCCACTACACAGGAGTCATAAGCACCTGATATTTAGTAGGTACTTAATAAGAATTAGATAATTATAATAGCTATTAAATATGTCTTTTACTATGTGTCAGGCCCTGTCTAAGGACTCTTAGTTAATCCTCACAACTACCCAAAGATGTATGTGCTCTTTCTATTTCTGAGTTATGAATGAGGACCTGGAGTATGGTGAGGTTAAATGCTTCACTTGTCCAGCGTCAGACAGGAAGACGATGAGTCGGGATTCAAATCAGTCGGGCTCTCAAGTTTTGCTCTATGGACACTTGCACTATGGACTCTGCCATCACAGTGCAGATGAAGAAGAGGCTTGCTCATGCCATCGCATGCCAAAAGTGCTTGTTGAAATAAGTCTACTCGTGACACTTTCAGACAGAAACTTGCACCTGTGACTCTGAATGCCACACACACACACACACACACACACACACACACACACACATATACACACATCTTTCTTCATATACAGGAATATTGATTACACGATTTCATAAATCAGAGTACTCTCATTACTTCATCTTTGGCCATAAAAGCTCAATCCTTTGGTAAAACTTTGATTTAAAAGAAAGATACCTTCTATCAATAAGGAGAGCTTTCTTATGCCTTGAAATTCACTTTGCTCTTTTCCCCAAACTGCCTCCACATTCGATGGCCTCTTCGCATAGCAGTAAGTTTTAATGTTCTCTGGTGTGTCTACACAGACACAGACACACCAGAGAACATCTACACAGACACACCAGCGAACATGATGTTCTCCGGTGTGTCTACACAGCAGTAAGTCTCAATATGGATTTGTTTATCACGAAATAAAAGCCTGTGTACAGAACAAACTGAGACCCAAGGCACACAGCAGGAGGAGACTTCCTTTCTTACCTTTACCTGGTAAAATGCCCTTTGCCATTGTTATGATTCACCATTGTCATCACGAGTAGGTTCATCTAAGGCTTGTCAATTCTATATATACGTAGCCATCTAGGTTTATTTTATCTTACATCCTCAGGGTCGTGCCCCAGTCTTCATCAGTGAGGGCAATAATCCTGTTTTAAGAGATCATGGATTAGTCGTCAGCTATGGCAGCTATCAAGGGACTCCTAGGTGTGGGGAATTGAATTGGTGCAGGGCCTGCAATGGTTTCAGCTATGACAGGCTCACACTTTGCTAGGTATCTAGTGTGTCTGTGATTGAACATTGCATGTGAATCCATATAAAAATATTGTTATGCTGAATTTTAAGACCCACTGTATACTTTCAAGGCTGTATATATATATCAGAAATGTCTAATATTTACAACATCGTTATAGGAAGCTTTAAGTAACCTGGGTGCTTTATATAATTTTTACATAGTGAATACCTATACATACTTTTTTATAATACTCATCCTCAAAGTCCTAAATGCTTTTAGAAAGCCATCAAATATCAGTTAATCAAGGGAGGCATTTCTTTGTTTAAGAATGGCCACAAACTCCAGCTTATGACTCTGAGGCTTGTTTTAAATCTGGTGGCAGTTCTACACAAAAAAGACATGTCTTTGTCCCACATAGTAACGGCTTCCTTTGCAAAGAAACAATCCTTCTGAAATTAAAGGCCGTGCTTTACAAGTATATATAATAAACTGTTGGAAATAATCTTACACCGTAAGCAAAATTTTATAGTTATTAAAAAAAAAACCCCAAGGTCTTTTTTACTTTCTCATCAGCATGTCACAAGGGCAGATGACAGCTCAGTTCTGATCAACTAATTAAACAGCACTTCCCAGAAATGTAGAAGAAGAAACCCGAGTATTTATGAATAGGATTTAGTGAGTGACTTGAATGGTCCGGTCGGAATCACCTATTTCTCCTTTTTACAGAAGGAAAAACTAGCCAGGGCACAGCTGGAGGTGCAGCAGGAGACAGGACCGTGGGAAATCTGGGGGGAAGGCAAGGGTATGTCTTAACGAGAAAAGACATTTCTGAGATGTCCCTGGGAAACCGAAGGACTGGTACTTTCCATTTCACGGCACAGTCTTAAGAAGTTACTTTGTTCCCCAAACTTTTCCATAACCTCGCGTGAAAGTCTCCTGTGTACAGTAGTCCCATGAATCAGAGATTCGTTTGAATTAACTTACCCCCTTTCCAGTTTCTACAAGTCATATGTTCCTTACAGGACTGAGTGAGTGAGTTGGTGGGTGAGGCATTCATTTATCCATATCTCTTTGTAGATCTTCTTAATTAGGTTACTTTTCTTAACAAAGAGGGGAGGTCATGAGCCTGGAGGACCAGCGTTGCTTCTAGGACAGCTATGGATCTTCTTGAGAGGAGTGCAAGCCTTGTCTTGTTTAGAGACCCTCTATATTCCAGGATGATATGAGAATACGATTTCTTTTTGTCATGTCTCTTCCATGACTCTCTTCTTTAGTATTATCAAGAGGAAATATAAATATATGCTGCTTATTATATTTAAAATTTTTTACATGTTTATTTTTCTTAAAATATGTATAGCTGGAGACTTTTTAAGAGGTCACCCAGCCCATCATCAGTTTCACTGGTAAAAACACTGACACCCTGAGAAATTAAATGATGATTTGGTCAAGGTCACCTAGCTAATTAGTAGCAGAGCTGAAAATAGATATTGGGTCTTTCTACTTGGAGTAGGTATGATTATATATGAAAATTATCATGTGTAATCATTCATACATATGCAGTAGGTAATACATTATTAAATAATATATAGTATGACTTTTAAGTAGAAGGACTAGCTGAGAGCTATGTTTTGCAAAATCAAAAATTCTGTTACCATGTACCATGTATTTCTTCTATAATCGATGAAACTGAAGAACACCCTACCCTTCCATAACATCGACACATTAAAGAAATTATTTTATCTTGATTACTGCATACTGTGAAGTTCTATTCAATATATGTTTTTCAGAAGTAAAAATAAATAACATTATTTCCGTATAGACAGATAGCTTGAAATTTAGCCTTGAATCATCCACTCAATAAGTACAAAGAATAGGGAGGAGGGTTCAGACTTGACATGAAGATGTTTAGATGTAAAATAAATGATCAGCTATGGTGCCGGATATGCACATGTAACTTTTCTCGCTCACTTATGAATTTTGCTGTTATGTCTGGAAATATTAAAACAGATCTCAATCTTAATTTACATGTCTTACAAAGCACAACTGGTAGAAAATTAACAAAAAAACATTAACTTTAGTTAACAACAACATCCAAAACTAACTTTAGTCTGGCGAGTATAACCAGTAGAAGATTAATGGCAACCACACAATTTAACAGCGGCGATGGAAACCGACTTTAGGGAGCAGTACACCTAGCTCATAAACCTGTGTCCCTTCTTCTCTTTGCTTGTGTATTTCTGACTCTTGCCTGGGACAGCAGAGGATGAAAAAGTCTCCTGAGGACTGTCTCACAGGCAGATCACGGCCACTGCCCAACCCCAGAGTATTTGCTCTTTGCCCTCAGCCACATTTGACCTAGAACAGTTGCTTGCACATGATAAGACTGAGAGAAACAAACTTGGACTTCCACCTACAGTGGTAGAGCCACTCTGCTAGGTTCTGTATGCAAAGTTCCTGCCCTGGGGAGTTTTATCCTCTTTTCTTATCACCTTGTCTATGCTACCAAACAAAAAGGAAGGGAAAGACCTTCAAATGATGACTCATTAACCACATGCAGAATTTGCTCAGGCTTTGCAAAGAGGAAGAGAAGTGGAATTTTTTTCTCTTGCTGTCCTCTGCTTTTCTTCCCTTACTCACTTGCATTTCCTTGTCATCCTCTGAGACTTCTCAGACCAGTTGTTGCCTTGAAGTTTGCTCTTAAAGTTGTTTGTCACAATTTTTACATTTCACTTGTGGGAAGTTGGCACACTTCATTGATACTAGGGATGTCTTGGTAGTTAAACATTCTGGCCTGTAAATGACCAACTTCTGCCTAATTAAAACATCATTTTACAAAATTAATGTAGGCGTTTTTGTTTGCACATGCCATATGAGAATCAATACTCAGGAACCATGTCAAGTAGCCTCAAAAAGAACTGTAAAGCCAGTTCACCACAGTCTAAATATATAAAAGAGCAATACTTTGCTAGTAGTTATAGATAATTAAAATATATTTGGTCTAAAAATATCACTAAACTCTTATTCTTGGGAAAAGTCAAATTTTAAAAATATGCCAAAAAATAAAATTAAAAGTAAAAAGGTGGTAGGATGATGAGTTAGTATTCGATAGGAATGCAGTGTTTGTTAAGTACTTTAGATTTCTTTAAAACGTGCATTTCTGATACAAAATATGGCTGACCTTTTTGATTTTATTTTAATTTCAGGTGTTTATATTTCTGGGGCCAAGAACTTCTGATTATTCAGCTTTTTGTCATATTCTCTTAAGTTAGCATGATTTTTTTTCAGTCTTCTAGATATTATGATGAGAAAAAATATATAGACATAAAATATGAAATATGTCACACTTTTTAGATTTTCCAGTTTGGGCACAATAAAACTCTTTTTCTGTGTCCCATTAAAAGGAACTTTAGTGATTGTTTCCAAAAGTATATAGAAATGAAATTTCATTTGCCAACTTCTTTACTTAAATACCTATATCATTTCACAGAAGGTTTTAGAAGCATATAATGAGATTGAAGTACAAGTAGATGCAAATGGAATTAGAGAAAATATGAAGAACAAAAGGTGAAGTTGGGGTTAGCAGGTGTATGGTAGGAGGTGGTATTTTGGAATGACAACATCTGAGCTATGTATTTCTCAACAGTCATTTAGTGCAGTTGAGATTTTGGTTTCAACCTCCTGATGACTAAAGCAAAAAGAGAAAGTAACAGTTATATTATTCACAGTGTCCATTAGGAAAATGCATGCGATGTGTTTTAAAAGAAACAAAATTTATTCTCAACCTTAAGTAAGACCTGAAGTTAGGTGCTGTAACTTTAGGTCTCTACCTAAAGTGGTGAATAAAATCCATAGAGTTTAGGAATAATGGGTGCCTCACAGCCTTCTGTGTTAGGGTCTCTCAGTGTAAGCCAAGGATGTTTTAGAGAAAAAGACTAAAAATTAAGAAAGTTAACAATTCAAGGTAACATCTCTGAAATGTATAAACCAACTCTTGGGATTTTAGACCATCTCAAATTGTTCAGTCTAGCTGGTCTCGTGTAGAACTGGGCCATCCTGCTGCCGGGAGCATTGGCCAGTCTTCTTGTCATCTTTTTGTTTTTCTTCTTCAGCTTTATTGAGATAGAATTGATATATAACACTGTGTAAGTTTAAGGTGTATGAAGTGTTGACTCGATATACTTATATATTACAAAATGATTACCAATACAGCATAACTAATACCTCCATCAAGTCACATAATTACCATTTCTTTTTGGTGGTGAGAACATTTAAGAGTCTGCCCTCTTCACTGCTTTCAACTATACGATGCAGTATTACTAACTAATCATCATGCAGTGCTGTTGGATCCACAGAACTTATTTGTCTTCCAAACTGGAAGTTTATACTCTCTGACCAGCATTCGCCCATTTCACCTGCTCTCAGCCCCTGGTAACCACCATTCTACTCTGTTTCTGTGAGTTCAGCCTTTTTAGATTCCACATGTAAGTGATATCATCAGTGTTTGTCTTTCTCTATCTGACTTATTTCACTTAGCATAATGCCCTCAAGTTCTGTCATGTCATAGCAGATGGCAGGCCACTATTAGCCTGTCGTGCACCTTTATATGAATAAGGAAGATATAGTACCTCTGGGATGTTACTGGAGATCATAGGCGATGAGATGCACTGGAGTCAGATTTCAACCCCTCACCTGAACTTCTTGGCCAAGTATATTTGTCAGGGCACACACTACACAGTCATACGTGGTAGTCTGTCTCTCACCTATTAGAGGATTCATGTATATTTCTACATTTTTCCCACTAAGGAAGTATGCATCCAATTCTTCAGTAATTAAAGTTGATCTTCAAAGAGATGACAACATAACCACTGGAAAAGGTTTACTGTAACATGTTAACCATTTTCCTATGGAAACATG